TTCTAAACTGTTCTCCCTAGAGGTCCAGTAAGATATATCTCATATTAATTCAGTGTTACTATACAGGAGGAAACCTAAGCTAAACTAACTTTTTTTATACTGGATAGCTCTATCAGTTCTAAACTGTTCTTCCTAGAGGTCCAGTAAGGATAATCTCTTATTGATCCAGTGTTACTACAGGAGGAAACCTAAACTAAACTAACTTTATTTATACTGGATAGCTCTATGATTTCTAAACTGTTCTCTCTAGAAGTCCAGTAAGAATGGCTCTAACAGTTCTAAACTGTTCTTCCTAGAGATTCGCTAACGATTCATCCAGTGTTACTACACGAGGAAACAATTTAGAAATGATTGACATATCTAGTATAAACCAAGTTAGTTTGATCTGTTTCACTTTTTCGACCGGCATATAGCAAGTGTGACTGATTTCTTCTTCTTATTTTAATTTAGATGGACTGTCATAGGTTTTCCTCACAAAATACAACAACAAATCGAGGCAACAGAACTCGCCCTGCAAGCCGACGAGGAGCATTTCCAGAAAAACTTACTATCAGATCAGACCACTTTCCAAGATCGGCTTGATTCGTTGAATATGGTCATCGCAGGTTTCGCCGCCCATACGGATCTGAACAGGGCGCACGAAGTTGCGAACGATGTTAGAAGAATCTCGAAACAACTCAAAGAATGTCAGACTTTAGCTTCAACGTATAATAACAGGGAAAGATTGTTTGGTTTACCTGTGACCTCAGTAAGTATGACTTGTTCGTTATATTATTAGCTCGTGAGAGAAATTTACTAGTGATACTATAGTTAGTTTAGCACTAGATCAATAAGAGATGATTCTTACTGGACCTCTGGGGAGAACAGTTTAGAACTGATAGAGCTATCCAGTATAAATAAAGTTAGTTTAGTTTAGGTTTCCTCCTGTAGTAACACTGGATCAATAAGAGATGATTCTTACTGGACCTCTGAGGAGAACAGTTTACAACTGATAGAGCTATCCAGTATTAGTAAGCTAGTTTAGTTTAGATTTCCTCCTGTAGTAACACTGGATCAATAAGAGATGATCCTTACTGGATCTCTAGGAAGAACAGTTTAGAACAGATAAAGCTATCCAGTATAAATTAAGATAGTTTAGTTTAGGTTTCCTCCTGTAGTAACACTGGATCAATAAGAGATGATTCTTACTGGACCTCTAGGAAGAACAATTAAGAACTGATAGAGCTATCCAGTATAGATAAAGTTAGTTTAGTTTAGGTTTCCTCCTGTAGTAACACTGGATCAATAAGAGATGATCCTTACTGGATCTCTAGGAAGAACAGTTTAGAACAGATAAAGCAGCTATCCAGTATAAATTAAGATAGTTTAGTTTAGGTTTCCTCCTGTAGTAACACTGGATCAATAAGAGATGATTCTTACTGGACCTCTAGGAAGAACAATTTAGAACTGATAGAGCTATCCAGTATAGATAAAGTTAGTTTAGTTTAGGTTCCCTCCTGTAGTAACACTGGATCAATAAGAGATGATCCTTACTGGACCTCTAGGAAGAACAATTTAGAACTGATAGAGCTATCCAGTATAGATAAAGTTAGTTTAGTTTAGGTTTCCTCCTGTAGTAGCACTGGATCAATAAGAGATGATCCTTACTGAACCTTTAGGGTGAACAGTTTAATAGAACTATCGCGATAAAGCTGGTCTAATTATTCAAATATATATTCAATTTCTAGTACGACAAACTTGGCAAGCTTCTGAAAGACTTCGAACCGTACAAGAACTTATGGCTAACGACATCTGACTGGTTAAAATGGCACGATTCCTGGATGAACGATCCTCTGACGACCATCGACGCCGAGCAACTGGAAAGCAACGTCAGCAACTCATTCAAGACGATGCATAAATGCGGCCGGCATTTTCAAGAGGTTCCCAGCGTTCAGAACGTTGCGAATGAGATTAAGGGATGGATCGAGGATTTTAAACCCTTTATCCCTTTAATCCAAGGGCTACGAAATCCCGGAATGAGGAGCCGCCATTGGGATCAGGTGAGTAAGGGATGGGTGGGTGGGGAGAAGTTTGGTATTTGTTAAAGAATTAGTGTTAAGGTTGTACATTCCAGGGAGGAGAGGGTGGGGAAGCATTTGTGTTATTATAGATTACTTATTGTAGAATACTACCTACACTGGACCACCATGTTTGAGATATCTTCTTCAGGTAGTTCAGACACAAACCACGGCAGGTTATTGTAGAATACTACCCACACTGGACCAGCACGTTTGAGATATCTTTTTCAGGTAGTTCAGACACAAACCAAGACAGCTTATTGTAGAATACTACCTACACTGGTCCACCACGTTTGAGATATTTTTGTAATGTAGTTCAGACACAAACCACGGCAGGTTATTGTAGAATACTACCCACACTGGACCAGCACGTTTGAGATATCTTTTTCAGGTAGTTCAAACACAAACCACGGCAGGTTATTGTAGAATACTACCCACACTGGAACAGGACGTTTGAGATATCTTTTTCAGGTAGTTCAGACACAAACTACGACAGCTTATTGTAGAATACTACCTACACTGGTCCACCACGTTTGAGATATTTTTGTAATGTAGTTCAGACACAAACCACGGCAGGTTATTGTAGAATACTACCCACACTGGACCACCAGGTTTGAGATATCTTCTTCAGGTAATTCAGACACAAACCACGGCAGGTTATTGTAGAATACTACCCACACTGGACCAGCACGTTTGAGATATCTTTTTCAGGTAGTTCAGACACAAACCACGGCAGGTTATTGTAGAATACTATCCACACTGGAACAGCACGTTTGAGATATCTTTTTCAGGTAGTTCAGACACAAACTACGACAGCTTATTGTAGAATACTACCTACACTGGTCCACCACGTTTGAGATATTTTTGTAATGTAGTTCAGACACAAAACACGACAGCTTATTGTAGAATACTACCTACACTGGACCACTACGTTTGAGATATCTTTTTCAGGTAGTTCAGACACAAACCACGGCAGCTTAATGTATTTGTTCGACTTGTCATATCTTACAAAATTATATTTATTTTCAGCTTTCAAAAGATCTTGGCTTTAAACTTGTTGCAAATCAAAATCTGAACTTTGCAAAATGTCTTGAACTGAAGCTTCAGGATCATATTGGTGTGATTGCTAAAGTTGCTGAGATCGCTGGCAAGGAATATTCTATTGAGCAGGTAATGAAAGTTTATCATTTATCGGTTTCACTGGATGGCATGGAGAACAGTAGGATTTTCAAAACAATTAAGAGACAATGGAACATTCTGATCACTGGATTGTGACTGCTACAGAGAAACAGTTGTCGAGCTCTAAACACAAGTTCTTGTATACTGGGTTTGTACAAAACTTGAAAGTCCTTGAATGTCCTTGAATTTGAAAACAGAAAATTCAAGACCTTGAACATCCTTGAATTTGTAAAGAAGTACTTGAAAGTCCTAAAATTCTTCTTGCTTTAGTTTATGGATATTTTCTGAAATTGTTTGACATTCAAAAACGGACATTTTGTTGAACTGGTTTTGCATGTTCATATCTGACAAAGCTGTTTCAAATTCATTAATGTTGCGCCCTTTTTGAACAATCCAACGTCACATTTTACTGATTTCTAATGCCTCTTCAGTATTTACGCCCGTATTCTACAAGCTCACTCACACTCAATGAGTGGAAGTTCAATTTGAGTTTCTCTTGAGTGTCATAAATAGCTGGAGGGTGAGTAGACACATAGTAAGGTACGACACTCACCCGCCAGCTATTCAAATACGGCAATGAAACTCGAGAGAAGCTCAGATTGCGGTGCCCGTGCCATTTTTGGCACCGCATTATATTCTGCCTGTGAGTTTGTCCGTTTGTTTGTTTGTTTGTTAGTTTGTTAGTTTGTTAGTTTGTTCGCATCAATACGTTTCCTTGATCGCCTAGCAAAAATTCCTTGCACGTGCTCGGAATTTATTAATTATTATTAATCGTGTACTCTCATGATGATCGACTGTTTGCTCAGCTTTATCTCTGGTTTTATGCATCAAACAAGGACAAAAATACCACTGTTCGAATCAGCGTGAAAATTTGTGTTTACGGATGGAAAATTGATTTCAAAATTGACTTCTATTCTAGCGATTTGTCGCCTTTGAAAGACAAAAGCCGCTCAAAATAATCCTTCACGTTTTCCGAATTCCTTTTTACGAGGAAAGTTTTCTTTCCAATTAATCTCGAACTTTCACGATTGACTTTTTGCTGCGACTTATCTCTCTGGTTTTATGCGCCCAATAAGGACAAAAATACCATCGTTCGATTCAGTGTAAGAAATTATACTCACAGAAGTCAAATGTATTACTAAACTACAGTATTCTAGCGATTTATAGCCTTTGAAAGACAAGCGAAATTGTATTGTTCACAAATCGCTCAAAATTATTAAACTAATTAAAAATGCAATGCATTTGACCTTGATAACTTTCGTATTGTTGGTTTTCTCTTTTTCGTCCGTATACCAGTCGATTTGTCTCATTTTTCTCTTTATTTTGTTTGTAGTTTGAGCCCAAAATATTATATTTTGAAGGTTTTAATGTGCAGTTTTAATAAGCGAAATTGTATTGTTTACAAATCGCTCAAAATTATTAAACTAATTAAAAATGCAGTCCGTTTGATCCTTGATAACTTCGGAATTGTTGGTTTTCTCGTTTTCGGCCGTATGCCAGTAGATTCGTCTCACTTTTCTCCTCATTTTGATAGTATTTTGAGCCCAAAATATTTTATTTTGAAGGCTTTAAAACGCAGTTTTGATCCTAACGTACGGACCAACTGGTGGCCGACAGGAGAATGTATAGCGTGCTAAATATAACTTTACGCTGAAAGTTTTATTTGTAGGCGGGCACCGCATTTTAGTACTGTGTCTGGTTGAACTTCCACTCATTGAGTGTGAGTGAGCTTTTAGAATACGGGCGTTGGTCCTTGAAATTGCTGATACCTTGAATGTCCTTAAAAATCTTTCAATTTGGCTCTTCCTGACATGTATGAACCCTAATAGTGGGTGATGCTATAGTATAAGGTATGGGTAAATATTCCATCTTTACACAAACCCTACAGTAACCTCTGTTTCGCTTCTCGTGTTATCTAGGCTTTGGACAAAATGGAAGGTGAATGGGCGCCGATGATTATGGAAGTGTTGGCGTACAAGGAAACAGGAACATACATTATAAAAGTCAGCGATGACTGCAGCCAACTCCTGGACGATCACATTGTGATGACGCAGAGTATGTCGTTCTCACCGTACAAAAAACCTTTCGAAGATCGCATCAACACATGGGAGGGAAAGTTAGTGATGACCCAAGATGTGTTAGACGAGTGGATGAACTGTCAGCGAGCGTGGTTGTATTTGGAGCCGATCTTTAGCAGTGAGGATATCAACAGACAGTTGCCTATTGAGTCGAAGAGGTACCAGACCATGGAACGCATTTGGAGGAAAGTTATGAATAATGCGCATGGCAATCCTCAGGTAAGCGGAAATAAATTAGTTTTGTCAAGGTTTGTTCACCTACTGCATGGACAACTAGAGAGAACAGTTTAGAATTGATAGAGTTATCCAGTGTAAATAAAGTTAGTTTAGTTTCGGTTTTCTCCTGTAGTAACAGTGGATCAATAAGAGATGATCCTTACTAGACTTCTAGGGAGAAGAGTTTGGAACTGATAGAGCTATCCAGTATAAATAAAGTTAGTTTAGTTTAGGTTTCCTCCTGTAGTAACACTGGATCAATAAGAGATGATCCTTACTAGACCTCTAGAGAGAACAGTTTAGAACTGCTAGAGCTATCCAATATAAATAAAGTTAGTTTAGTTTAGGTTTCCTCCTGTAGTAACACTGGATCAATAAGAGATAATCTTTACTGGACCTCTAGGGAGAACTGTTTAGAACTGAAAGAGATTATACGGTATAGATAAAGTTAGTTTAGGTTTCTTCCTGTAGTAACACTGGATCAATAAGAGATGATCCTTACTGGACCTCTAGGGAGAACAGTTTAGAACTGAAAGAGATATACAATATAAATTAATTTTAGTTAGTTTACTTTATTTCATACATCGCTTCGTTTTTCAGGTGATATCTCTGTGTCCTGATGCTCGTTTGCTTGATTGCCTCAAAGAATGTAACAAATTACTGGAACAGGTATACTGTGTTATTTTTTAAAGCACGACAGAGCCATGCAAGGCATTTACTGCATGGACCTCAGAGCTTTAGAACTCTTAGAGCAATCCAATTTAGATAAAGTTATATTAGTTTAGTTTAGTTTAGTTTAGTTTAGTTTAGTTTAGTTTAGGGGCGGACCATTAGAAAAATGATGGAAAGGGGGGGGGGGGCAAAAGCAAAAATAAAAAGCGAGCAGGGGAAACAGAAAAAAAAATTTGCGCACGAAAAAAGTTTAAAAAAAATTCGTGCAGAGACTTTTCAATAGGGAAAATTTATAAATTGTGTAAGGATGGCCCTCAATTTTAGAAAATAAAACGTTTTTTTGATATAAGTAATGGTGTGAGAAGAATAGTTTCTAAACCTAGGTATTGAAGATATTGGTATATTGGTGCAAAAAAGGTTTTAAGCATGCTTTAACAGGAATTTGTGACGGAAGATTTTTTTGAACCTTAACTTAACTGATGTTAATCTTGAAAAAATTTTTTTGACCTTTTTTAGTGTCCTGAAAAATGTAAACCCCCCTTCCCCCGCTCACCAACACTTTTTTGAAAAAAAAAAATCGCGCAAGGTGTGATTAAAAAAAAATATCGACACAAGCAAAACATTTTGAAAAAAAATAATCGTACAGGTTGGAAATGTCGCCCCCCCCCATCACTTTTCTAATGATTTAGTTCTAATGGTTTTTCTAATCCCTT